TGGCGCAGGACCCGGGACCAGTGGCTCGTCATCCGCCTCGAGATCGAATCGGAGGCAGCGCGAGTCGGTGAGCTGCAGCGGCATCCGAGGGCGGCCGAGCCCACGCAGGTGCCGGAGCAGAATGTGGAGAAGCGGCCCTTCCTGGAGGGGCTGCAGGGGCAGCAGGCGTCGCTCAGCACGTTGTAGCTCACGGTGTAGCGGATTCTGGATGCGTAGAACGCGGACTTCTTGAACGAGCTGCAGCCCGACCCTGCTTCTGCTGCCTTCGCTGTCCTCCCTGCGGCTGGCGGAGCGGCACGCGGGCGAGAGGGGGCGGAGGCAGCAGGCTGCCGCAGGGGAGCCGCGTGAGTGCGAACCTTCCGGGAACTCTCCTGCAGGCGAGGCGGCGGACAACCAGCTGCTGCAGATGGAGGCCGAGCTCAACGCCCCGGCGGCAGAGGCGAGATCGAGCCGAGATGGAGCCGAGATGGAGCCGAGATGAGCCGAGATGCCAGGATGAGCCGAGGTGGAGCCGAGAGACTGGGGGCGGAGCTCCTCTCGCCCCAGCGGCCCGGAGGCGCGGCGCAGACCGCCGAGTGGGCCAGCTCAGGTCGCCTTCCCTGGGCGTGTTGCAACCCCCTCCCCGCCCCCCCGTCTCTGTCAGGTGGACAGGCAGGGGGCACCGTACCACCTCCTCTGGGTGCTGCACCGCGCGAGGATGCTGCTCGACGTCTACCTCGAGACGGAGGGCGTCGGAGGAGGGGCGACCGCCGCGGTGTGCGGCACGCTCTGCAACCGGCGCGTGCGAGGCCGCGACCGCCGAAAGCCGTTCCACTTCAGCAAGACGACGAGCCAGTTCGACCAGGCAATCTAGCCGACCGCGGAGGAGCGGGGCGAGGGGAGAGGCACGCTGGCGCCCCTGCTCCGCCCGTCGAGTGCGCACCGGTCCCGGTCCGTAGCCCCGCGTCCCGCAGACCAGGCATGATGCTTTAAGCGCTGTTCTCGATCTCGTTCGCGGGTCGATACACGATAGACACGACGAGATTCATACACCGTGTGGAGTCGCGAGGGTTGCACCCCTTTGTTGCGGGCCCTACCACTTTGTGTTGGAGAAATTTACCTTGCCTTACGGCCGAGCCCCCGAGAGCAGGCGTCCTCCCGTGCGCTGCTCCCCGTGCCGGCCGTGTACAGTACGAGTCGTGGCCCGCCGCCCCGGAATTAATGTTTACTTGGAGCACTTGGAGTGCAGTCATTAACCTCACAACACATCCCCAGGGCCGGGGAGCTCAGAAGCGCACCCCAGCGGGCCGGATGATCGGTATCGGGCTACGGGCTAGAGAGCCCTGACCCCTAGGGGGGGGTGCGCGTTCGCAGGGCAAGGGCCTTAAAGTAAACACAGTTCTCCGAGAGGGCTCCGTGTACCGGGTTTCCCCTTAACTGCAGAACGCCCCCTCTACACGTCGGAGCTAGTGGACACGGACACTACGACACCACCCGTCACGTACACACACGACTGTCTAACGTGTACACTGCCCGGCCTCGTCCCCCCCCCTTCAGGGTGAATCTTCAGTCTGGTTCGGTCTCTTGCTCGCCTTTCGGGCGTCGCCCCACTGCCTCTGCAGTCGTTTCTGATGTCTCTTCCTCGGGGGCGGTCCCTCCGCCCCACCTCCGTCGGCTAGCCCCATTGGCCCCGAGGGAGCCGACAGCCCGGGTGGGGCCTCCCCGGGCGGGAGTGGCGGCATTGTGTCTCGTCGCCACCCCTCCCCGGGAGGTCGGGCCGGCTCTCCCTGGTCGGCGAATCGCGCCCGCACCCGCGGCCTCTCTATCGTTCTCGGCTCGCCCTCCCCCTCCGCCGGCTCCTCTCCAGGCTCGGGGAGGCGTGGCCCTCCCTGTCGAAGGTCGCGGTGGTCCGGTTGCCATTGCGACGGGCCTTCCCCCGGTGAGCTCGTACGTCCCGACTCCATTCGCAGGGGCCGCGTCAGCTCATCTCTCGCCTCCTCCGACAACTGACTCCAAGCCCCCCCCGGGGCCCTCCGGCCACGGCCCTCCGGCCCGCCGGCGGGTCCGCTATCGTACCGCGGCAACTCCCCTCCCCCATCTCCTCCTCCCGGGTACACCAACCTCCGGCGGGGCGGTCCCGGGTCCCCCAGGTTATTCCGAACGGGTCCATACGGTGGCGGCCCCGTCGGCGGCGGGGGTGGAGGCGGTGGCAGGGGCGGCGGGTACGGTGGCGGCCCTCGCGGCCCAACCGCCTGGTGCGGAGCCGCTGGGGCGGCCCCACGACCCTGCAGCCGTTCCAGTGGCGGGTGTGGGTGGCGCGAGTTTAAATTCTTTTTCTCGCGATGTCCACCCCGCCGCGCCGCCGCTCGCGCCGCCTCGCCTCCGCCTCCACCGCCGCTCGCTCGCCAAACGCGCCGCCGCCCGCCCGCCTCCTCGACCTCCCCACCGACCTCCTCGTGCGCGTCGTCTCTCGCTGCGACCCCCTCGACATCGCTCGCGTTGCGGCCGTCTCGCCGCTCTTTCACGCCTCGCTTGCGAAGGAGGGCATCCGCTTGTGGGGGCAAGAGCGCGGTTACGAGCTGCCGGCGCAGCCAGAGGGCGAGAGCTGCGCCGTGCAGTGGCTGTGCTTCGCTGCGCTGCTGCGCGAGTCCAACCCGCCGGCGAGGGCGGCGGCATGCTGGCGGCACAGCGTCTTCATCGACGGCGAGGGGCGGCTCTCGTCGTGCGGCAATGAGGCAGTCTTCCCTGGGCTACTCGGCCACGGCGAGGGCGTGACGCAGCTCAACACGCCGACCCGCCTCCCTTCTCCGCTGGGTGGCGAGCGCGCCGTGAGCGTGGCGGCTGGAACCGCGCACAGCCTCGCCCTCACCGCCAACGGGGCCGTCTGGAGCTGGGGCAGTGGAGGCGACGGCCAGCTGGGCCACGGCGACGAGCAGGACCAGCTGCTGCCCAAGAAGGTCGAGGCCTTTGCTGCCCAGCGCGTCCTCGCCGTGTCGGCTGGATGCGACAACAGTCTCGCCCTCACCGCCGATGGCAGCCTCTGGAGCTGGGGCCATGGAGGTGGGGGCAAGCTGGGCCACGGCGACGCGCAGCGCCAGCCGCAGCCGAAGAAGGTCGAGGCCTTTGCTGGCCAGCGCGTCGTCGCTGTGACGGCAGCAAACGACCACAGCCTCGCCATCACCGCCGACGGCGCCGTCTGGAGCTGGGGCTGTGGCAACTCTGGCCGCTTGGGCCACGGCGACCAGCAGAGCCAGCTGCTGCCCAAGAAGGTCGAGGCGTTGGTTGAGCGGCGCGTCGTCGCTGTGTCGGCTGGAGGCGAACACAGCCTCGCCCTCACCGCCGACGGCGCCGTCTGCAGCTGGGGCGGTGGAGGCTATGGCAAGCTGGGCCACGGCGACCGGCAGGCCCAGCTGGAGCCGAAGAAGATCGAGGCCTTGGCTGGCCAGCGCGTCATCACCGCGTCGGCTGGAGAGCACCACAGCCTCGCCCTCATTGCCGACGGCGCTGTCTGGAGCTGGGGCGAAGGATTCTATGGCAAGCTGAGCCACGGCGACGAGCAGCACCAGCTGCTGCCCAAGAAGGTCGAGGCCTATGCTGACCAGCGCGTCGTCGCTGTGTCGGCGGGAACCGACCACAGCCTCGCCATCTCCGCCGAAGGCACCGTCTTCACCTGGGGCGCGGGCAAGAGCGGCTGCCTAGGCCACGGAGAGGACCTGTCGAACCAGCTGCTGCCCAAGAAGATCGAGGCGTGGGCGTGCGGTAGCGGCTGGGCTGAGACTTGTGAGCGTTGAGGTTCCGAGCCGCGAGCGCGCACCGCGCTGGCCGCTGCGCGTCGGGGACGCGAGTGGTGAGGCGAACACCGCGCTCACCAGTCACACCGGCGTCGTGTCGGTTCTGCTTTATTTGAGATCAAACCTGAAAAAAAGATCAGTCAGACCATTCCGTGCAGGCAACGTAGCGCCTGCGGCTGCAGCGCCTCGCGGCAGAGCGGGCACTCTGGCTTCTCGGACACCTGCGGCGGCAGAGGATTTGGGGGCGTGGACGCGTGTCTTCGGGGCGGCGGCGGCGGCGGCAGCGGTGCGGCCGCGCCCAAGCGTGGAAGCACTCCCAGCAAAAGATGTGGCCGCAAACGCCCGCGGTCGGCTGGCGGCGCGGAGAGAGGCACAGCGAGCAGAGCGGAGCCGTGCGCCGGCGAGCAGACTCGGCGGCGGCGGCGGGCGGCGGAGGGGCAGCTCTCCGCTCCTTGTCCGTCTCTCCTGCGCGCGCGGGCGGCCACGCTGAGGAGGGGAGCGGCGGCAGGCGGCAGGCAGCCCGCCCTCGCCGCTCGCCGGCAGACGCGATTGCGCGGAGGCGGCTGCGGGCGGAGGCGGCGGCGCGGAGCTCTGCGAGCAGGGCGAGGGAGGAGAGGGCGAGCTGGCAGAGCATGAGCAGGCCGAGGGAACGGTACGGCGACGAGGCCGACCCGGCCCGCGCGCCGTGCCGCACGTGCGCGATGCCGAGCGGCACGTCGACCAGCCGACGGGGAGCGCGGCCGAGACAAAAGAGAGCGAGCTGCAGCCGGCGGAGCGCCTCGCCGAACGAGCCGAGCCGCGCGGCGAGGGCGGCGGCGAGGGGCGACTCGGAGGAGCGGGCCGCGGAGACGAGCCGCGCCTCGAGGCGGAGAGCAAGGTACGGCGTCAGCGCCCCAATCAAGACGGCGATCCAGCGGCGGCGGAGCGGCAGCGGCTGGCCCGTGGCCGCGTCTACGCACGTGATGTCGCAGTACTCCTCGCCCGGCGTCTGCGCGAGGCGTGCCGTCGAGAGGCCGCCGTAGGCGAGGCGCGCCGCCGCCCGGACCTCCTCGCGGTGCTTCTGCACCCACTGCGGGCCGGCGAGAGCGCCGAGTGCGTGCGATACGAGCAGGGAGAACTCGTTGCCGTGGAACTCGTCCTTCTGCGCGGCGCGCAGCCCCTCAGCCGTGGTGGCAGGAGGGATAGCCAGCGCGGAGAGGATGGGGTCTAATGACGAGCAGCCGGGTGCCATGGCCGTGAAGACCCTGGGCCAGGTGAGTGCCTCGCAAAAGAAAAATCGGCACATCAGCTCTGTGTGCCATCGTCGCTTCGAACTCGAAACCACCGGCACACGCCGCATTCGTCGCCGGCGCGCGACAGGCTCCCGTCGGCCGGACTGCCCTCGACGAGTGGGTGTCGCCAACCAAAGCGACACGCACTCGAGGCACGAGGGTAGTGCCGACGGGACGCGGCTCGAGGGCGACTCTCGCGAAGGCACGGCTGGCAACCGTGGCGCGGGGCTCGCGTTCGACAAGACCGGGATCGCTCTACCGGCAAACCTCTCGCTGACATGCGCGCCCCGTCGAGCTGACGGCGGGCGCGCTGCGGTCGCACGCCTCCGGCCGGCCGCGGGGTGGGCGTGCGGTGGCGTCACAAACAAATCCCACGGCAAAGACCGGGACGCGGTCGGGCGATTCGAGGCCCAACTAGGCGTATGCATTGCCTATCCAGGGCTAATTAGACTGGGCCATTCCTTCCACAAAATCACCGCCCCGGCCCGCCCGCGGCTGTGCAGTATTTTACTTGGAGCACTTGGAGTGCAGTTATCAACCTCACATCCAGGGCCGGGGAGCTGAGAAGCGCACCCAGCGGGCCGGATGATCGGTATCGGGTTACGTGCGGTGCGCGCGGTTTTTTTTTTCGCTTCAACACGCGCGCCAACGCGCGCAGGCAGAGCGGAGTTGGCACCCCGCCGGCTCGCCCTCCTCCCCGCCACTTGCATTTTCTGGCTGGCCGTGTTCCAACAGCGGACATGAAGCTGCGCGTCGGCCCGCTGGTGGCAACCTGGTACGCAGCCTCCATCGCGGCCATCTGGACCGCCAAGATCGTGCTGCAGGAGCTCGCCTGCCCAGCGACCCTTGCCGCCGTCCAGTTTGCCGTGGCAGCAGCGGGTGTGCATCGCACCACCACAAGCAATATGAATTTTGCCTCTCCACAGCACGAGCGAGCCTCCGCACCAGGCACACGCTGCCTGCTGCCGTCCTCCTCCCGCGGCCCGCTGAGTGACGTCGAGCTGCGGGCGGTGCGCGGCGTGAGCCTGACATACACGCTCGGCTTCCTGCTCACCAACGCCGCCATCGCCGCCGCCGCGCCGAGCTTTGTGGAGACGGTCAAGGCGGCCGAGCCTCTCACCACGGCAGTTGCACGGCATGCCGCTGCCGCTCCACACGGCGCCTCTCCAAGCTGCAGGCCTCGAGCCGAGTAGGTCGCTCTTGCCGGACTGGTGCTGGGCGAGCGGGAGCGGCCCGCCACCCTCCTCGCCCTCCTCCCGATCGTCGCCGGCGTCGCGACCGCTTGCTCCGGCGGCGGCGCCTTCAGCGCCACCGGCGGGGCCCTCGCCCTCGCGTCGAACGTCGCCTTCTCTGGCCGCGCCGTGCTAGCCGCGTCGCTCGACCCTCCTCATGCGTTGGTCAGCTCAGTTGGTCAATGGATAGGCCGCGCCGTGCTGACCAAGTCGCTCAAGCGCCGCCATGCCGGCTCGCCCGCCGCCCGCTCGGACGCATGCCTCTTTTACCACGTCGCGCGCGGCAGCCCGGCTCCTGCTCCCGAGGTCACCCGAGATGCGGCGAGATCAGCCGAGATTGCCCGAGACTAGGCGGCCTGCTCGTGCTCCTCCCAACGGCGCTGATCCTTGAGGCGCGGCCGCTGCTGGCGAGCGCGGCCGGCGGCAGCGCCGCCGGCGCCGCGCGTGTCGCTTGTCTATTCGCCGCCAACGGCGCGGCGCACGCGCTGTACAACGGCGTCAGCTTCGCCGTCGAGCTGACCCGAGATTGCACGAGATGACACGAGGTTGCCGGAGAGCAGGCGTCAGCTTCGCCGTCCTCGCACGCGTCAGCATCGCGACGTGCGCCGCTTGCTCCGCACCCCGAGGTGAGCCTGAGACTGCCCGAGAGCGCCCGAGAGTGATCGGGATTAGGCACGCCGTGCTCAACATCCTGCGCCGCGTGCTCGTCATCGGCGCTGCGGCGGCAGTGTTTGCGACGCCGCTCTCGGCGGCCAACTGCCCACCCTAACCTCGATCATGACCCTGACCTTGCCTGACCCTAACCCTGACCCCGAACCTAGCTTCACCCCGTACCCTGACCCCGAACCTAGCTTCACCCTGTACCCTGACCCCGAACCTAGCTTCACCCTGTACCCTGACCCCGAACCTAGGTGGCCAACTGCGCGGGCGTCGCCACGGCGGTGGCAGGCGTCGTCGCCTTCGCGCGGACCAAGGCGCGCGACGGCAACAGCAGCAGCGGTGGGGCCAGCGGCAGTGGCAGGACTCGCACAAAGGGTTTGCTTCCGGTGTGAGTCACAGTGAGTAAAGTACACAGTCAACTGTCAAGCGCTCAGACGTCTCAGTGTTTTGCCGTTTTATTTTTTAGGTGCCGATATGCAGGGGAGATACATGCACACTCTGTTACATGATGTACGTATGAGGCATGGTGGACATTGCACGCATTGCCGAGCTTGCAGGATTGCTGCGCTTGCGAGGCGCAATTTTGCTGGGACTGCGCGCCGCGGGGGCCGAGCGGGCTAGAGGCTCGTGGCGAGCGCCCAACTGTTGCGCTGTTGCACTGGCAGGGTCGATTCCGCATGGTACGGGACCACCCCTCGATCGTCTCGCCCTCCGCTAGCGCCCAACTAAGCGAACGCGGCTCCTAGCGTGTTGTATTTCTACTTGAAACCAGGTCACAATCAGAACTCCTTAGGGGACCCCTAGGCTTCAAAGGGTGGGCCCTGGGGCGCCTGCGGCTTAAACGGCTTAAAGCGGGCCCGGGCCCATTTTAAGGCTGCCTGGGCCGCCGATTCCTTAAACGGTCTTAAACGCTTAAACGGTGCGGGAGAGCTCCCGAGGTCGATGGTCCGGGAGGCTCTCCCGGTAGACGCCGCAGGCCGGGAAGCTGGCTACAGTCAGCTAGCACGCGTCCCCTATGCGAGTATGGCTCCTGCCAGTGCACCAGACTTACAGATGTGTCTTCAGAGGCGGGTTTGTGCCCAATAACGGCAGTATTGGACAATTGGAGAAAACGGCGCGGAACCCAGCGACGCATGCCGGCGAGGCCGAGTTTCTTAAACGGTCTTTAAAGAGGGACCCCCCGTGCCTGCAATCTCTTAAATGGCAAGTTAAGCCCCCAAACCTCCTCGTTTCTTGAGCACTTGAGCACTGGATAGGGTCGATTCCGCATGGTACGGGACCCCTCGATCGTCTCGCCCACCCTCACTGGAGTGTTCATTGGGGGGGGTCATAACAAACACGGTGCAGGATCGAGGTGCACGCTGCCGAAGCAGTGTCGTCCCCCCTCTCCCCGACGGTGATGGCGGTGTGACCGATCGAGCTACAAGAGGAGCTTGTTCAGCAGGATCCGGGATAGTCAGATGCACTCGTTTCTTAAAAGGTCTTAAAAAACCCGGCCCTCAGAACCCTGGGGTCCCCTAAGCAGAACTCGAACGTCAACATAAAGCCGTATTCAACTTTGCCCAGGCCGCAGGCGTGAGTGAGGCGAGGCGTGCGTGACGGCGCAAGGCCCACACCCCCAAGATTCCACTCGCGCGCTCCCAGACACGGACGCGCAAGCGTTAAGCGCACGGGCAGAAGCGGGAGAAAGCTGTGTGGAAGGCCTTGGATCCAGGAGTGCCACTGCTGCTGAGGGTAACCGTAGCCACCGTAATGCTGCTGAGGGTAACCGTACTGCTGCTGAGGATTGCCGTGTGGGGTGCTAGTATGATGAGACGATGACTGTGCACACGGCTGCTGAGGGTAGTACTGCTGAGGGGCCCGTAGTGTGGGGACTTGTCCTGTTGGCTGGCCAAGTGACCGGCGAGGGCACCTGCTGCAGCGCCAGCCAGGACCCCCAAGAAGTGGCTGGCCTTCTTCTCCTCGGGCGGCTCCGCCAGCTGGAGGCGACGTTGTGTCCACCTTGCTCGTCGGCCGGGCCTGCCGATCCGCGAGCAGGCATTCCGCCTCCCCTCGAAATCATGCACAACGAACGTCCTTCCGTCAATCTGGTGCGCAGGGAGGCCCGTCAGAACGGTGAACTCGCCAAAGGTGAAGTCGTCCGTCGTCGTGTAGACGATCGGCGCCGGCCCGCCCGCCCACGGGTCGAAGGAGCCGTCGCCGTTGAAGAAGTGGCCGCGCGCGTCCTCTTTGCACGAGCCACCTTGGTGGATGTGGAGACCACACGAGTTGTGTGCGTCGCCGGCACCGTCCTTGCACCTCGAGTCCACGCCCGAGAGCATGAACATGAAGGTCTGAGACGCGACGCGGCCGGCGTCGTCCGAGGTGAGCAGGCCGACGGTGCCGCTCACCTCGGCGAGCGCGCCGTCTTGCTGCTCATAGTTGTAGTAGGGCACGAAGCCGGTCGTGCTAAGCGGCTTGAAGGTGAGGTCGTCGATCAGGAGCGGCACTTGCGGCGGCGTCGTTTGGTCGTCGAGCGGGAGAGAGGCAGGCCAGCGCAGAGAGGACAGGGACACAGGAACATGATTCGAAGAGCGAGTCCGCCTTGACAGAGACAACCCCAATCTTGACACGGTCGTTCATGACATGACACCCCGGGGGGGGGACAAGGAGAGAGATTTTTTCGGTGTTTTGGCACAACTAAGCCTCTAAGGTACCGTAACACTATGAGAGTCACCTGGCAGTCCGCCTGCGGACCTCCTCACGCCAAGGCTGACCGCTGCGCCTCGTCGCACCTCTCCGCCTGTCTCTCCACCCGCTCCTCCGCCGTCTCTCGAGCGAGCGCTTGCAGCGCCGCAACGCCGCCGACCCGGTGCCACTGCTCAGCGCACGCAGACGAGGAGGTTGCGAGGGCCAGGAGGGCGGTGATGATTTCTCTGCGCCAGCCATCATCCTCGGGCTCATCGAGCCGCGCCAGCAGGAACGAGAGGCAATGGTCGTCAGCGTCGAGGGTGGCGCGATTGCTAGCCACGACACCCTCGTGCGTGGCAGGAGCCTCCGACAGCCGCTTGAGCTCTCCGAGCGCAGCAGCGTGCAGCGCCGACGTGGCGTCGCCAGCAGTCTCCACGAGGCGAGCGAAGGCACCGCGCGGCGCGCAGATCAGAGACCAGCGCTTGCACACGGCCGCCGGGTGCCCGCACAGCTCGTCTTAAGGAGCACGCACGGCGCAAGGTCTGGGTCCTCCAGGATGCGGCGGCGCAGCGAGCCGCAGCTCACTCGATGGCCTCGAACCCGAGCTTCCTCAGCTGCGCGATCTGCGCCGGCGTGAAGTCGTCGGCGTCGACGACGTCGTCGAACTCGAGGACGCTCCACTTGACGACGACGGGCGGCTCGGGGACCGAGAAGCGCGTGCTCAGCGCGACGAGCACCATCCACACCACGTCCAGCGTCTGGATGATCGCGAGCGGTATGGGCGGGTCGACGCCGGTGCGCCCCTGCGCCTCGTACATGATGACGTCGATAAAGTAGAGGATGGGAAGGCAGAGCGTCACCAGGCCGTAGCTCACGATGTAGACCGTGTGCGAGCGCTTCACGTGGCCGCTCTCCCACGCCTTGCCCCAGCGGCACTCGACGTAGTTGCCCAGCTGGCAGAGGTAGCGGAAGGCGACGGCGGTGGAGAAGATGGCGAGGTGCGCGGCCCACTGGCCGTCGGGCGGGCCAACGAGCCACAGGAGCATCCACCCCATGCTCGCGAGCCCGTGCAGGTACGTCGTCACCAGCGAGAAGCGCTCGGCTTTGCTCGTCTTGCCGTCGTCGTCGCGCAGCTTGGTGCGCATCGCCTCGAGGCTCGCGTAGGTCCACGCGAGGTGCACGTCGTACGACATCGCAAAGACGGCGATGTACGACGCCGGCGCGTAGTCCCACCCAAAGCACGGGTTGAAGTGCCCCACGTAGACCCGCGCCGGGTGGTCCCACACCTGGGACCGATCGTAGCAGACCGTGACAATCCAGCACACGATTAGCGTCAGCACCACGAGCTCGTTGCTCGCGGCAAAGTAGGCCTTCGGAGATACGACGCCTTGAGGGGGCGTCATGAGCAGCCGATACAGCGCGAAGCGACTCCTCGAGAGGGCGTCGTGAGCGGGCGTCATCACCAGCTTGCACGTCGTCTGCGGCAGGAGGGTGTCGTCGTTGGAGGCGGGAGCGCCGCCCGTCGGTCGCAGCGCATCGCCCTCCAACGCCTCTCGGAGGACCTCCTCGTCGGCGTGTTCATCTGCTGGCGCCACAATGGCGGTCGGCATGCTAGCCGCAGTAAGCCACTCCGCCGCAGGCGCCGAGTTTCGGTGACGTCGGAAAAAAAATTCGGAATCTACCCTTATAAGTCTCTCGTGTCGGCGCCGACGCTCTTTTAACGTAGAACGTCCCAGCTGAACACTCGAGAACACCGCCCGCCGACGATCGATCAGTCCACAATCGTCGGCCCGCAGCGACCCGCAGCGATATTTGTAAATGGATGCCGCCGCCCCCCCGGCCCCTACGGCCGACGCGCCGATGCACGACCGGCCTCCGTCGGACGGCTCTCCGGCCTCTCCGGCCGCTGCCGCCCGCGCTGCTGCCGATCCAGTCCCTCTCACGCTCAGCGATATCCGCACAACCTACGACCAGGCACCAACTCCTGGGCGTTTACGCTTGACTACGAAACCATGCAGTGGATGCAGCTCGATCAAAACGGCGACGCCAACAGCTGGCCCCTGGGCGAATTCCTTGCGCTCAGGATGAGGTGCGAGCCATGATGCTCGACTATCAGCGTGCACCAAGTCGCTCACATTCCGTGAGTTCGTCAACGGGCCGAACTCTCCAAGTCGACGGCGATCTCGAACTCCGACAACTGGACCGGTGCACCAGCCGTGTAGGACGATGGCTCCCTCGACGACATCCCTTCATCGACGGACGCCTTCACCGCCGCCGGCCCTGGGCCATCCAGCGCGGCCTCCGACGGCCTGCACGTGATCGAGGTACAGAAACGGTGGCTGCCGCAGCTCACACCCTAATCGATCTGCCTTAGGCACGGAGCCAACGGGTTGAAAAGGCGATAGGAGAGGGGAGAGCGCCGGCCACATCGAGCGAGCGCTGACGTGTAAGGTGTCTGCGCTGCTCCGGTGTGTGTGGGATTTTGCCTCCCCCCATCTGTGCGGCGAGGTGTTTGCGGTGGGTGCGATGGCCGATCGTGCGCGATAGCCTCCCATTGTGCGTGGTGTGTCGGTGTGTCGGTCGTCCGGAGCGTGTGGCGGCGCCGTTGCATGCAGCGACTGCTCCACGTGCCACGACTGCTTTGACTGACGTGACTGACTGATGAGACATGAGTGCTGATGGATGATCTCCGACAACCCAAAACCAAAATGAAAATGCGGAGTGGCCCCACTTTGGCGTGCAGATCCTGCGTCTCTCACTGCCCGAACAACACTCAACAGAGGCGGGTCCGCCGCAGGTCCCCACTAGTACGGAAAAGAAAAGCCGCTAGCGCGCGAGGCCCCGCTCCTCTGCTGACGATCGAGAGGCTGACGCCGTGGCCGCCTCGCCGCTCACGAGGCTGACGCCGGACTCGTGCAACCGGCGCGGCGCCGTATGACAATCCTGCTGAAACAGCTCCACCTGTGGTTCGGCGATGTGTGCCGCCACATCGAGGGGGAGGAGGAGGCGAAGCGCCTCTACTCCAAGCTTTCGAACACGTCCCACCCGAGGATCAAGGGCGACGCGCTGCGCTCGCGCTGTGCTCAGCAGGCGACCAACAGTGTGTGGGGCAAGCCCGACCCTGCTCTGAGCCGGTTCCAGAACGACGCTTTGGTCGCGGCGCGCGTGCTCGCCTTCCTCAACTCGAAGAGGCTCCCGGTGACCGCTGTGAGAGCCACGCTTCTGGCACACCAGATCACGGACGCCGCCTCGCTCAGCCAGCGGGCGTGTGCCCAGCGGCTCTTCGACCACTGGACGCAGCCGCAGTCGCCGCCCTGCCCCGTCTGCGCTGCAAACGCCGCGCGTGGCTCTGTCGCAGCCCGCTCTCCTCAGCGTGCAGGAGTGGGCACCGGAAGGGAGGGGAGTGACGGCGGCGGCGGCGGCGGCGGCGGCGGCGGCGGCGGCGGTATTGGCGGCAGTGGTGGCAGCGTTGCCCGCGTCGATGGCCGACAGCCTGCTGCCACGAGCGGAGCGCCGGCGTTGCCCGCCCACGGCCAGCCACCAACCAGCGCCTGCCAGCCCGCCACGCTCCAGCCCGCCACGCTCCAGCCCAACACGGACCCGGCTGCCGATGCGCGCGCGGTGGCGGCGGCTGCTCCCGCGGCGGTGCCGGCGCCGCGGTGGGAGGTAGAGCTCAAGGGCGGGTGGGTGCCTGCCGACGCTCGCGTGCTCGCCGCCATCTCGGACGCAGAAGCGGGCGGCCGCGGCGAGTACGAGGCTCGAGGCTTCAGCTACTCGGTCGACCTCCATCAGAGCTGGCAGCGGAACCGGAAGACGGGCCGCACCCGGCGCATCCGGTGCCGCGCAGCCGTCGTCCCCGCAACCGCCGCCGCAGCCGCCGCCGCAGCCGCCGCCGGCGCTCCCACAGGACGAGTCACCGAGCGGCGGGCAGTCGGAGGACGACGAGAAGACGGTGGTTGGGTGCGCTGCCGACGTGGGCCGGCTGAGCGACGTGGATGCGGCCAGTCGTCCCTCCTCCTCCTTGGCGGCGGAGGAGGCGGCGGGAGCAGGGGCGGCGGCGGGAGCAGAGGCGGCGAGACAGCAACGCAAGAAGGGGAAGAAGCGGCGGCGGCAGCCTGGCGACGAGAAGGAGGAGAGCGACGAGGAGAGCCGCCGGCGCAGGCTGCTCGAGAAGAGTGAGAAGTGGAAGCGCGAGATCAATCAGTCGCTGCTGCAGCGCTACGCTGCTGACCGCGAGAGCCTGAGCGAGGAGGAGAAGGCGCGGGCGGAGGTGCTGCTGCTTCGGGACGAGAAGAAGCGGACCAAGCAGGCGGAGGCGCAGGCTGCGCCCCAGTTGGCCAAGGAGCTGAAGAAAGCTAACAAGGCTTTGAGGAAGCGCGAGAAGAGGAAGGACCGAGAGCGCGACAGAGACGCAGTCGCAGACGGAGCCGGCGGCGGTATAAGCGCAATGCGGTCTGATGCTTGAAAAGCCCCCTCTTTTGTGTGCCTTGAGGGAGACGGCGTGCGACTGCGGGCGGTCGAGAGAGAGAACGTTCAATCGTAAAGAAATTGATCCGCTCCGCACACACCGGCCGCAGGCCGCACGCTCCGCAGCTGCGCGCCACACAGCTCACACCTCACAGCGCTCAGCGGCGGTCGCAAAAGAAGGAA